GGCCCGAGACTTACCCCACGGGCACATCATAATAAGGATGATCATGATGATGATAACTATCATCGTAACACCCTTTGTGTGGTTGTCACCAGAGTTTCATATGATTTCATTGAGGGATTTGCTCAAGCTGGAGCCAAGAGATGTCATGATAAGTATCATCGTAGCATCCTCTGCATTACCAAGGGTGCCTAACGCCACATTTGACATGTATATAGAAGAAAGATAGAAGAAACATCAGCAGAGCCCTGTCGAGCCTTAAATATGTAAACTGGTTTCGATAGACAAATGATACTGAGCTGCTTTTTGGAAGCCAGTGCCGCACTTCTTGGCCAAGTGCAAGTTTGCATCCTTGTGGCGCATCGGCTGAGCTCTGAGCTCCAAGGTTTTTCTGACCGGTTTCCAGAAAGAATTGTCCTGGAAGTAAAGCCTGGGTGAGTCGGGTCCCCAGCCAAACCATTAGTTCGCAAGAGTTGTTCGCATCGTCCCTGCGCTTGTCGACATCGTAGCATCCTCTACATTACCAAAGCTGCGGATGACTGTCATGATAACTACCATCGTAGCATCCGCTGCATTACCAAGGATGCCTAACGCCACATTTGATATGTATATAGAAGAAAGATAGAAGAATAGAAGGAAGAGATGATGATGATGATGATGACAAGCATGATGACGATGATGAAGGCGATGACTATGATGACAATCATCATGAAGATGATAAGGATGATGACTCTTATGATAACTATCATCGTAGCGTCCTCTGCGTTACCAAGGATGCCTAACGCCACATTTCAAATGTACAGAGAAGAAAGATAGAATAATCTCATGATGACGATGATGAAGGCAATGACTATGATGACAACCATCATGAAGATGATAAGGATGATGACTCTTATGATAACTATCATCGTAGCATCCTCTGCATTACCAAAGCTGCGGATGACTGTCATGATAACTATCATCGTAGCATCCTCTGCATTACCAAGGATGCCTAAGACCGCATTTGAAATGTATATAGAAGAAAGATAGAAGAATATCATGATGACGATGATGAAGGCGATGACTATGATGACAATCATTAAGATGATAAGGATGATGACTCTTATGATAACTATCATCGTAGCATCCTCTGCATTACCAAAGCTGCGGATGACTGTCATGATCACTATCATCGTAGCATCCTCTGCATTACCAAGGGTGCCTAGCGATGATCATGACTACGCATCACTATCGAAACGGCACCTCGCCTCAGATGCCATTTGTGTCATTGAGATTTGGAGTCCTGCCTTGATGATAATCATCACTACGCATCATTCGCAGCATCTGTGGCAATCATGAGGATAATCATCACTACGCATCCCCAGCATCTCCAGCAGCGATGATCATAATCATGACTACGCATCACTGTCGAAACGGCACCTCGCCTCAGATGCCATTTGGGTCATTGAGATTTGGAGTCCTGCCTTGATGATAATCATCACTACGCATCATTCGCAAGAAACCAAAGAAACCAAAACAAAGGGCACTGTGTTTGGTTGCTCGAAAACCACAACTAAATCCAGGGGTCGTCGGCACTGGGCGGCAGCCCTTGAACAAGAATGAGATGCTGATGAGCATCATGATGATGAGAAGAGCGATGACATCATAATAAGGATGATCATGATGATGATTACGATGATAACTATCATCGTAACACCCTTTGCATCACCAGTGCTGCCTAATAAGAGATGATGATGACCGTGATGATAATGATGACAAGGATGAGGACTGTGATGATAGCTATCATCGTAGCATCCTCGGCATCACCAGTGCCGGCTACTAAGAGACGATGATGACCATGATGATGACAAAGATGAGGGCTGTGATGATATATGTCATCGTAGCATCCTCGGCATCATCAGTGCCGGCTAACAAGAGATGATGATGACCATGATGATAGTGATGATAAGGATGAGGACTGTGATGATAACTATCATCGTAGCATCCTCTGCATTGCCAATGGGGTCTAACGTTACTTTTGAAATGCATATAAGAATAAGAATAAGAGATGATGATGATCATCATGATGATGATGAGAAGAGCGATGACATCATAATAAGGATGATCATGATGATGATTATGATGATAACTATCATCGTAACACCCTTTGCATCACCAGTGCTGCCTAATAAGAGATGATGATGACATCCTCGGCATCACCAGTGCCGGCTAATAAGAGATGATGATAACCGTGATGATAGTGATGATAAGGATGAGGACTGTGATGATAAGTATCGTCGTAGCATCCTCTGCATTGCCAATGGGGTCTAACGTTACTTTTGAAATGCATATAAGAATAAGGACAAGAATGAGATGATGATGATCATCATGATGATGATGAGAAGAGCAATGACATCATAATAAGGATGATCATGATGATGATTACGATGATAACTATCATCGTAACACCCCTTGCATCACCAGTGCAGCGTAATAAGAGATGATGATGACCGTGATGATAATGATGACAAGGATGAGGACTGTGATGATAACTATCATCGTAGCATCCTCGGCATTACCAGTGCCGGCTACTAAGAGACGATGATGACCATGATGATGACAAAGATGAGGGCTGTGATGATATATGTCATCGTAGCATCCTCGGCATCATCAGTGCCAGCTAACCAGAGATGATGATGACCATGATGATAGTGATGATAAGGATGAGGACTGTGATGATAACTATCATCGTAGCATCCTCTGCATTGCCAACGGGGTCTAACGTTACTTTTGAAATGCATATAAGAATAAGAACAAAAATAAGAACAATAATGAGATGATGATGATCATCATGATGATGATGAGAAGAGCGATGACATCATAATAAGGATGATCATGATGATGATTATGATGATAACTATCATCGTAACACCCTTTGCATCACCAGTGCTGCCTAATAAGAGATGATGATGACATCCTCGGCATCACCAGTGCCGGCTAAGAAGAGATGATAATCACCATGATGATAGTGATGATAAGGATGGGGACTGTGATGATAAGTATCGTCGTAGCATCCTCTGCATTGCCAATGGGGTCTAACGTTACTTTTGAAATGCATATAAGAATAAGAACAAGAATGAGATGATCATCATGATGATGATGAGAAGAGCGATGACATCATACTAAGGATGATCATGATGATGATTATGATGATAACTATCATCGTAACACCCTTTGCATCACCAGTGCTGCCTAATAAGAGATGGTGATGACCGTGATGATACTGATGACAAGGATGAGGACTGTGATGATAACTATCATCGTAGCATCCTCGGCATCACCAGTGCCGGCTACTAACAGACGATGATCACCAGTGCCAGCTAATAAAAGATAATGATGACCCTGCTGATAATGATGACAAGGATGAGGACTGTGATGATATCTATCATCGTAGCATCCTCGGCATCACCAGCGCCGGCTAATAAGAGATGATGATGACCTGATGCTAGTGATGATAAGGATGAGGACTGTGATCATAAGTATCGTTGTAGCATCCTCTGCATTGCCAATGGTGTGTAACGTAGCATCCTCGGCATCACCAGGGCGGCCCGAGACTTACCCCACGGGCCCAGTATCCCTAGCACTCCTTGTGCCGACAAGGAAGGGGCTCATTTTTTGAGATAGCGCCCCCTGCGCCCAAGCCTAAATGGTCCCCTGTGTGGAGAACAAGAATGAGATGATGATGATCATCATGATGATGATGAGAAGAGCGATGACATCATAATAAGGATGATCATGATGATGATTATGATGATAACTATCAGCGTAACACCCTTTGCATCACCAGTGCTGCCTAATAAGAGATGGTGATGACCGTGATGATACTGATGACAAGGATGAGGACTGTGATGATATCTATCATCGTAGCATCCTCGGCATCACGAGTGCCGGCTACTAAGAGAGGATGATCCTTGGCATCACCAGTGCCAGCTAATTAGAGATGATGATGACCATGATGATAATGATGACAAGGATGAGGACTGTGATGATACGTATCATCGTAGCATCCTCGGCATCAATAGCGCCGGCTAATGAGAGATGATGATAACCTGATGCTAGTGATGATAAGGATGAGGACTGTGATCAGAACGGGGTTGCCAATGGTGTCTAACGTAGCATCCTCGGCATCACCAGGGCGGCCCGAGACTTACCCCACGGGCCCAGTATCCCTAGCACTCCTTGTGCCGAAAAGTAAGGGGCTCATTTTTTGAGATAGCGCCCCGTGCGCTGAAGCCTAAATGAGTCCCCTGTGTGGCAGCTACAATGGGCCAGAGCGGGGCGTTAAGCCCCAATCTTCAGGGGCCGGGGGGGCAGTCATCATGATCATCATGTCCATGCAGCTTTTGCATGTCAAACCCTCTCTGACGCCACAATTGAAACGTATATCAAAAAATAAGGATGATGACGAGGATGATGATGTTGAAGGATATAGAAATGATGATGATGATGTTGACGATAAGAATGATGAAGGATCGTATCGATGATGATGATGATGATGGGCATCCGTATGATGCCAGTAGTCATATGCTTGCCTCAAAGATTAATCCATGCGCTTGTACTGCAACCACCCTTCCCGTGCGCCTCCCCCTTTGAGGAGAAGGGGTCGGCGGATATTAGAACAGAAGTGTCGTTCTTGAGTTTGTTCACGCCGAGAAACAACATGTTTTGTTTGGCACTAAGCTAGTACAAAGAGATATGCAGTGCTCAAGTCCTGTGCAACGCAGCGCTACGGGAACGTGTCAAGGCGAAGCCGGGCAGTTGGCAAGCCTCTCACATGCAGCAGGCTGGGCTCCTTGCCATGACTGGTTCTGATTGGATCTCTTTGACATTATGTCACATGTAGGTTGCCTTTTTGGTTTTGCTTTGTTGTCCAATCTAAGCAGCAGACAAGCAAGCTTTTTGCAGGGGCTCCACGTTGGGCTTAAAAGTCTATCACTCGCACACTGAGCTGCAAGCAGTGCAAGGCTTCCCAGCAGGAGGGGCAGTATCAAGCTTCTGACCCAAAGCAGGCTGGGGCGCTGACCAATGTTATCTATCGCCGACGGTTGCCAACTGTATAGATTGGCAGTTTGCCTCTAAATATTTTCGAGTTTGTGAGGTGTGTGTGTGTGTGCGAGTGAACAGCAGTTGAGTGAAACATGCTATGCAGCAACGACGGTTGTGTGGCAGACCGTAGCTGTATCGGTATGTTGTGTTCAAGTCTTTTACACCATTGCACACATATTGCAAGGCGCAATGGCAAGCTTCGCAAATGACGCGTCCGCTGAACCAGGCTGGGATGCATTGTCACAGGACGCTTGCAAGCCCGGTTTCTGGAGAGACCATGTTTAATATTAGAACAGAAGTGTCGTTCTTGAGTTTGCTCACGTCGAGAAACAACATGTGTTGTTTGGCATAAGCTAGCACAAAGAGATATGCAGTGCTCAAGTCCTGTGCAACGCAGCGCTACGGGAACGTGTCAAGGCGAAGCCGGGCAATTGGCAAGCCTCTCACATGCAGCAGGCTGGGCTCCTTGCCATGGCTGGTTCTGGTGGGATCTCTTTGACATTATGTCACATGTAGGTTGCCTTTTTGGTTTTCGTTTGTTGTCCAATCTAAGCAGAAGTCAATCTAGCTTTTTGCAGTGCTCCAAGTTGGGCTTAAAAATCTATCACTCGCACACTGAGCTGCAAGCAGTGCAAGGCTTCCCAGCAGGAGGGGCAGTATCAAGCTTCTGACCCGAAGCAGGCTGGGGCGCTGACCAATGTTATCTATCGCCGACGGTTGCCAACTGTATAGATTGGCAGTTTGCCTCTAAATATTTTCGAGTTTGTGAGGTGTGTGTGTGTGTGTGCGAGTGAACAGCAGTTGAGTGAAACATGCTATGCAGCAACGACGGTTGTGTGGCAGACCGTAGCTGTATCGGTATGTTGTGTTCAAGTCTTTTACACCATTGCACACATATTGCAAGGCGCAATGGCAAGCTTCGCAAATGACGCGTCCGCTGAACCAGGCTGGGATGCATTGTCACAGGACGCTTGCAAGCCCGGTTTCTGGAGAGACCATGTTTAATATTAGAACAGAAGTGTCGTTCTTGAGTTTGCTCACGTCGAGAAACAACATGTGTTGTTTGGCATAAGCTAGCACAAAGAGATATGCAGTGCTCAAGTCCTGTGCAACGCAGCGCTACGGGAACGTGTCAAGGCGAAGCCGGGCAATTGGCAAGCCTCTCACATGCAGCAGGCTGGGCTCCTTGCCATGGCTGGTTCTGGTGGGATCTCTTTGACATTATGTCACATGTAGGTTGCCTTTTTGGTTTTCGTTTGTTGTCCAATCTAAGCAGAAGTCAATCTAGCTTTTTGCAGTGCTCCAAGTTGGGCTTAAAAATCTATCACTCGCACACTGAGCTGCAAGCAGTGCAAGGCTTCCCAGCAGGAAGGGCAGTATCAAGCTTCTGACCCGAAGCAGGCTGGGGCGCTGACCAATGTTATCTATCGCCGACGGTTGCCAACTGTATAGATTGGCAGTTTGCCTCTAAATATTTTCGAGTTTGTGAGGTGTGTGTGTGTGTGCGAGTGAACAGCAGTTGAGTGAAACATGCTATGCAGCAACGACGGTTGTGTGGCAGACCGTAGCTGTATCGGTATGTTGTGTTCAAGTCTTTTACACCATTGCACACATATTGCAAGGCGCAATGGCAAGCTTCGCAAATGACGCGTCCGCTGAACCAGGCTGGGATGCATTGTCACAGGACGCTTGCAAGCCCGGTTTCTGGAGAGACCATGTTTAATATTAGAACAGAAGTGTCGTTCTTGAGTTTGCTCACGTCGAGAAACAACATGTGTTGTTTGGCATAAGCTAGCACAAAGAGATATGCAGTGCTCAAGTCCTGTGCAACGCAGCGCTACGGGAACGTGTCAAGGCGAAGCCGGGCAATTGGCAAGCCTCTCACATGCAGCAGGCTGGGCTCCTTGCCATGGCTGGTTCTGGTGGGATCTCTTTGACATTATGTCACATGTAGGTTGCCTTTTTGGTTTTCGTTTGTTGTCCAATCTAAGCAGAAGTCAAGCAAGCTTTTTGCAGTGCTCCAAGTTGGGCTTAGAATCTAGCACTCGCACACTGAGCCGCAAGCAGTGCAAGGCTTCCCAGCAGGACGGGCAGTATCAAGCTTCTGACCCGAAGCAGGCTGGGGCGCTGACCAATGTTATCGCCGACAACTGCCAACCGTTTGCTCGACAACTGCCAACCGTTTGCTATTTAGCTTAGCTATCCAGTCGTAGACTTTGGGCAAGAGTGCGGCACAAGGTGGCATGCAGTGATATGTAGTGCTCCATTCCTTCACCACCCTGTGCTACAGGCACATGTTACAGCACCGCCGGCAAGATTCTTACAGCCAGCCTGGGTTGCCTCCAATTCAGTCACTTGCCGTGTTGGTAGAGTTTGCAGAAGAAAAGCAAAACATAGCGCGAACCTTTGAGGAAAGAGTAGCTGAGCTAACTGTCTAGCTTACAGTATTATTATTTTTTGCCACCGGACACTACTGCGCACGGATACTATGGGATTCCCTGTGTTCGAATCATGTGCAACGCCGCGCAAATGCAAGGCGCTGCCTGGCCAGTGGCCAGCTTCTCACAGCCAGGCTGGATTGCCATTTGAGCTGGGGGAGTCACCGTTTGGGGGGTCATTTTGTTGGAGACCCCCCCAAATGGTGGTTTCCTTTGGTTTCCCTTTCAAACCACCAAGAAGAACTGGGGGAGTCATTGTTTGGGGGGTGTCATGTCAAAACCCGGGTAGATGAAGCTTAGTAGGGGCAGTCCCAGCCAGAAATAGTTGCGGATATCCGCCTTCTTAATTCTTTAAATGGTTCTGGGTAGACCATTTTAACACCAGGTTTTGATTGTGACTCATTTTAGTCGCATGCCTTTGTCAGCCTCCGCCCATTCCTTGCGTAAATGTGGCATGCTGTGTGCGCGGCACTGAGCCAGCACAAGGCGTTCCCAGTAAACATCCCAATCCCCACTAAAATCGACTAAAATGGTTGGTGCACCTACCCCAAAATGGTACCATTGGTTTTGACCCACAGCCATATAAAGCTGTGAAGAAGGCTGAGGCGCTGTGCTCGCAAACGTTGACAGGTTGGCGCGCGCCACTGCATGCAGTTGTGTGGCAGAAAGGGATGCGCGGTGCTCGAGTGAGCCGCAAGCAAAACTGGGGCAGTGACTGAAGTCTACGCATCGTCCTTGTACAGACTGCAACCATGCAAGGCGCAGACGGGCCAGTGGCAGACTTCCCACGCACAGGCAGGTGCCGTCGCATGGCTCTTGCTTACCAAGCATGTAAATGGTATTTGTTAAACTCTAGGCACATGCCTGAGTTTCTTTGTTGTCGAAGTTGTCTCCTGACAGGGCAAGTATATTCAACACACACTGACAACGATAGAGTAATTTCCTCATCCTAAGCGTGGATGACCATACGGCGTTGATGCTCAACTACCATGGTATGTGCAAACGTTGTGAGGGGAAAAGGGCTCATCCCAAGGTCTGTCACTAGGTCCGTGTCTGGAGCTTCATGGAAAGTAGGGTGAATGAGCCCTCATTAAGGCCTTATCAAAGTGGAAGTGGGGGTGGAGGGAAGCGGGAGGGCTTGGGCTTTCTAATCCAGGTGAGTCACCGTGGTAGATGGAAGCAGTCCCAATTACAAATGGTGCGACCGCCCTTTGAATTTGTTGTTAGACCACCTCGTTGGACCACTTTATCCATTTGGAGCATTTTCCTTTTGCGATTCGTCAGCTGGGTCAGAAGCTGGAAAGTGTTTCCCGCAAAAGGAAGCCACCAGATGCACATGTTTTGTCCACACCACCTATTGAACAGCCGGGTGGTGGACAAAAAAGGGTGAGGAAAAGGATTGAGTCATAGAAACCTCAAGGGCGGGTGGGTTGCGACCTCGCCAATGTCGGGTCCTTTCGAGCTGGGTTGATCAAAAACAGTCCTCAATCCTTCTGACAAACGGTAGCGTTTTCACTTGTTGTGTTGGTGCCCCGCTATAGTATTATTATTGAGTTTGCAGTAAGGATCCCCTCCCTCATGTTCATCAACCCAGGCAAGTTGATGTATTGTTTGTTTCATCCAGAGCAGCTTATCTTGAAGACCAGTTGAGGTTCGATCAAGCTATCCTGCTGTGTCTACGCTCGATTTGTTTTTTTCCTCCGAAGCACGAGCTCTAAAGTGTCCCACACAAAACAACTAGGGACTAACTCAATCTCCCAAAAAACAACAAAAGCCAGGGGCTGGCGGTTTTTCCCAATGCGCAGGAACCCCATACCTTGACCCCGGCAAAAACCGGGTGTTTCTTGAATATTTGAGCAGCTGGCGCGCCAAACGCCCGCCAAACGCCAAATTCTGTGACTTGGGACCCCAGCCTCGAACTTGGGAAGTGTCTGTCTGTCTATCTATCTATCTATCTATCTATCTATCTATCTATCTATCTATCTATCTATCTATCTATCTATCTAATCTATCTACCTACCTATCTCTCTATCTATCTATATTTTATCTCTATATCTATCTATCTAGTTTATCTTTATATCTATCTGTCTATCTATCCTTCTATCTATCTATATATCTATTAATCTAATCTATCCATCTATCTATCTACCTATCTATCTATCTAATTAATCGTTCTATCTATCTAATTCATCTTTCTATCTATCTATCTATCTGTCTAGCTATCTATCTATCTATCTATCTATCTATCTATCTATCTATCTATCTATCTATCTATCTATCTATCTAATATAATCCAATCTAATTCAATCTATCTATCTTAAGTTTTATCTATCTATCTATTTGTCTATCTGTCTATTCAATCTGTTTATCTATCTATCTGTCTATCAATCTATCTAACTGTAATCTAATCTAATCTAATCTAATCTAATCTAATCTAATCTATATATCTATCTATCTATCTATCTATCTATCTATCTAATTAATCTTTCTATCTATCTAATTGATTTTTCTATCTATCTATCTATCTGTCTAGCTATCTATCTATCTATCTATCTATCTATCTAATATAATCCAATCTAATTCAATCTATCTATCTTAAATTGTATCTATCTATCTATTTATCTACCTATCTATCTATCTATTTGATCGTTCTATCTATCTATGTATCTGTCTATCTGTCTATTCAATCTGTTTATCTATCTATCTGTCTATCAATCTATCTAACTGTAATCTAATCTAATCTAATCTAATCTAATCTAATCTAATCTATATATATATATCTATCTATCTATCTATCTATCTATCTAATTAATCTTTCTATCTATCTAATTCATTTTTCTATCTATCTATCTATCTGTCTAGCTATCTATCTATCTATCTATCTATCTATCTATCTAATATAATCCAATCTAATTCAATCTATCTATCTTAAATTGTATCTATCTATCTATTTATCTACCTATCTATCTATCTATTTGATCGTTCTATCTATCTATGTATCTGTCTATCTGTCTATTCAATCTGTTTATCTATCTATCTGTCTATCAATCTATCTAACTGTAATCTAATCTAATCTAATCTAATCTAATCTAATCTATATATCTATCTATCTATCTATCTATCTATCTATCTATCTATCTATCTATTTATCTGTTTTATCTACCTATCTATCTAATCTGATAGATCTATCTATCTATCTATCTATCCATCCATCCATCCATCCATCCATCCATCCATCCATCCATCCATCCATCCATCCATCCATCCATCCATCCATCTCTCTCTCTCTCTCTTTCTGTCTGTCTGTTTGTCTATCTATCTATCTATCTATCTATCTATCTATCTATCTATCTATCTTTTCACATTTATGTGTTTTTATATTTATATTTTTGTGACATGTGTGTGTGTGTGAAACAATATGTGTATTTGCATGTGCTTTCTTTTGTTTGCAGAGGTGTAGACATGTGTATCGATGTCACATATATATATATATATATATATGTGCATGCGTGTACATGTTTTGTTTCCCGAAACCTCAGCAAGAACGACGAACGAAGCGGCAGGACGCCGTGCCCATGCCATCCTTCATGAAGCGCCCACCGGAGGCGAGGGTTCCGAGGGTGGTGTTTGAAGAGCTGACATCGTGTCTACCTATGGCGAGCTCACATGGGGTGGCAAAACGAGCTCACCGATGGTGAAAGCCCCTTACTTGGGGATTTCGGGATTGCAGTTTTGTAGTGTAGATGTTGCGATAATGCCAAGTTCGGATTAATTTGGAGGTTGTTTCTTTGAAGTGAGGACAAGATCTAGGGGATTCCTCTCACCAGTTAAGGTAATTTGGATCAATCTCGAAATAAGCCTTGTATGGAAAACCGAGACGGGGGTTCCGAACCCCATAACTGGGAGCATGACCTCGAGCCCCATGGCAAAAGATCCGAAAATATTCGGCTGGTTTTCACTGGCTCATTCGCCCGTTTCGTGAAACGAAATGTTTTCGACTGTTCAAGGAATCAAACACATCTGCTGTTTTGCTCCAGGAGTGCCCTTCGGCAATGTGTGAGGTTGGGACTTTTGGCATTTTCTTACAAAATCAAGGAGAACCTGGCGCCCTTGTGGAAGGAACCGCCAATCCGCAATGTGTATCATTGTGGGCGTCCCTTCTTGCGAAAGGTAGCCCTGAATAACAATTGAGGGGTTGCAGACTTTGGCCCCATACAAAGCCGGCCAAGGAGCAAATAAGACAGAGAAAGAGAACAAGTTACCCTCCCACCAAATATGGAAGTACACAGAATCTTTTTGTAAGACTCAAATTTTGGGAAGACCATTTCAGTGATTTAAAAAACAAAAACAAACAGTTCAGACTTTTTCTGGCCCATCCACTCAGGAAGCGAGAAGACTACTTTGCTCTCAGAAAGGCAGCCTCACCTACACGTTTGTTAGGATAAAACTGGCGCTATCCGCTAGGCCAAAGCTGCGCCAAAGATCTCGGCAACGCTGAAGATGCCAGAGGTGCGAGCTGGAGCGAAACAGCTGGGAAAAGCTGCGCCCCAAAAGACAAGACCTTCAGTGGTATGTGTTCTCGTCTTGGTTATTTCCAAAGAAGTAACAAGAAGTGAAAGTAACTTTTTGGCTGAGTCGATGGATAACGAGCCACAAGTCTCAGACCCGTTTGGCTGTTTGGGTTCCGTTTTTTGAAAGGGCTCGGTTTTTTTCTCTTGGGTCACTGGACAAAATGGAACACTTTCAAACAAGTGGGTATGGATGGAAGCCTTGGGGCACCCATTCTTTTGGGTCACTGTTTTCACGCATGAATGGAAAGTGTCTGACTTGCAAGCTTCACTGACGAAAAGGGTGGGCAATGAATAGTGACCGCTCATATGACTATCATAAGAGTTTCTCAGACATGACACGTTGGGCTCGAGTCCTGAGGAACATACCTGTACTGGGCGGGACGGCCTTGCATTTTGAAAGGGTTCCCAGTGTTGATAATTTGCAAGTTTCTCGACTTGGTAACCCCCCTTCGGATGGTTTACAAAAGTAAACTCGATGGACAACAGATTCTTTGCAAGAGTGCACTACTTCAGGTGAGACTGAGTATTATTTGGCCCATGGGCTGAGCAGACTGTTTCCAGGGGATATCAAAGTCAGTTTCTCCTTGACCCACCACTTCAGAAATGTTCTTTGGTAGAAACAAGCTAAACATCAAATACCTGAACGGAAGACGGAGTCCCAGTCCAAGTTCCGGACCATTCTGTGCAGCCAACTCATTCAGGAAGTTGCGCTCAAGGTGCGCTGAAGCCTTGCTTGGATTTGGCCATCATTCCGAACGGTTTGGACCCGTAGCTATAGTATCCGTGTGAACGGTAAGATGCCCTTTACCCAAGGCGCCAACTTTGCGCGTCGCGATGTTCAACCGGGGTGTCAGAAGTTTCTCCAGGTGGCACAAAGTCGCAACTTGAGGGGTCAGTTGGAACGGAACATGCGTTTGTGGCTTACATGCTGGAAATGGTAGGTGAGCCCTGAGTATGAGTGGTCCTTCATGCGGAAGATCCAAAGGCTCGCAAGTGGTCGTTGCGTCGCTGGGCCTGTCAACCCTGGGCTGTTGCCCTGGGGCCCATGATGCAGGCTTCATCAACTTCTGGTTGATTGACGGGGGATCGTGCCACCATTTTGGAAGGGATCCAGATCACACTTTGGGAAAGGACCCTATCCGCCTTGGTGAATGCTATTCATACAGGGCTCGTATGCTCAAATAACGGAACAACATGTTTCTTGAGAACTCAAATGATGCTACATTGTGAAGTGCTTACATAGGATGGACGCGTGGTGCCGGTCATATCCGTGAGTTGGACTCAATTTGAGTACATGATTCCGTACTGAGTGACGCTGCTTCACACAGAAAGGCAAACAGACCATGTTGAGGCAAGCGAATTTCAGCAATGAAGCACTTCCGTCATTTTATGTGGCCATGATCCCAGAAATTTGCAGAATTTGGGTCGTTTGAACACAAAGGGAGGAGCTGCCACGAGTGAGCTCCCAAAACCCTTAATTATTGAGCATCTTAGTAGGTGTTTTACAACCTGGTTTCATGCGGCTTATATTAAGGCCTACACACTTATAGCCATGTTGGTGGAAGCAAATCTCCATGGTTTGGAGGTCTGCAACCTGCGGCGCTTCGTGCCGCGGCAGTGGTTGATTTGTGAGTGTTTTACTCAACGCTTTCTGTCGCGAGATGTTTTTTCCTGGGTCGTTCAACGACAACGGAAATATGGACTAAGATTGGGGATCCTCCCATTTGGAACACCCAGCCTGTGTGTGTGTGTGCTCTGTTTGTGCGTGTGTGTCTCTGTGTGTGTGTGTGTGTCTGTGTGAGTTGTTTGTGTGTGTGTGTGTGTGTGTGCGGGCGTGTGTGTTTGTGTGTCACGCGAATGCACGTCGTGACTTTGCACCGAATGACAATTTGTCTCCATTACAAACATTGCCGAATGACGCAGCCGAACACGAGTATCAAACACGGCGTGATGCAAGAAACACGCTTGCAATGAATGGCAACAACTTTAGTGGGGTGAACCACCAGGACCCTTGCATAAGCGCCATATATACATGTATTTTAGATATCATCCTAATTTGTTGCTGTTGCTTGGTGTGTTCTCAAGGAACACAGCTACGTACGTGCATTCCCTCTCAGCTGGAAGTACCAACCTACATATGGGGCATGACGGGTATGCATTGGGGGCACCTGCCATACAACACAAAATGCAGCCGCCGTGTTTTCCTCCGCATCCGTACGATTGCCTCAACTTTCATCTTCCATACGAGCGGTGTAAGCAAGCGCCGCCAGGCACGCAGTAAAGTGTGTTAACGTACAAAGTGCAATGCACATTGTGAGATGCAAAGCCCCATTTCAATGTCATATGTATTTTTAACTTGGACTCGCCCTTCTTTCATGGACAACTCAACAGGCGACATGCCAACCAGATGCGATTGTATCAGAGTTTGTACATGGGATCGGTTTTGGGGACTGCCCCGAAGGAGCCCCAACAGCCATTGTCCAACTAGTGTTACTCACATCCCTAACGCAGCAAGGGTATGTTGTTTGGATATTTTGGATCATGTTGTGCTTGCCTTAGATGTAGAGCTAAGACGCGCAAGCCTTTGCAGCTTAACATCCGGGTCAGGCCCAGCCTGAAAACCTTCATGATGATCATGGGCGACGCAGGACCGCCCGACTCCAATCCCCACAGTGATGGTTTTCCCCTATAAATACAGGTTTGGGCAAGATCTGTTGTATATGTTTATACAACCTTGGTGCCCCCCTTTCAAAAGGAACCACGAATTGGTTGTTTAAACAGCGGTTTCAATCATGTTTGAACGTGGAGGAGGTGTCCCAAGCCTATCGAATTGGGGGAAGCCTTGTTTGGAGACTTCTCTTTAGCATCCAAAGTTTTTGCTTGGGGGGGGGGGAGAGTTCCTTGTTTTTGCTTGGGGGAGGGAGTTCCTTGTTGGGCTCTCGGCTCGACGTGATGTTTGTCCACCTTTAATCATAGGATCCAACCCTGCCGTCTAGAATACAATCTCATCAAGACCTTGAGCGATTTCACACTCCACGGTCCAGGGTCTTATTGTAAAGCAACAAGTTGACTTGGGGGTCTAAGGGTCCCTAGACTTTTTTGTTGCGTGGTTATCCGCCGTTGCCATGAGGAGTAACACCTTCCAAGCGGGGTCTGTGCACTAAACGATGTCAGTTTTTGTTCAGTGGAATCTATTCTTCGTGTTTTTGTGGGGGGGGGGGGGGGCTGCAAAACTATTCTAGTATACCAAGGGTTGGGAAGGTAGGTGACCAACGGGTCACAATGGAAAACAACCGGTGTCAACATAAACCCAGCGGTGACCCATGGTACACTGGTGCTAGGTCACCAAAGATATTTTCGCAACAGTCAGTCCACTTTTGCACCAAATGCCTTTTTACTTCAGAGACCCGCCCCAAATATCCCCCTGCCGTACTTGCACGGTCTGATTTGGCCTTGTTCCCTCTATTGCTCATTATCAGCCGCAACCCTTGGGCGGAATCTGCGGGCAAAGTTGGCAAGGCTGCTCATCACTGTGCTTGAGCTTGCGCACAGGACATGCCTGAGCCTATGGCGAACTCGTTGCGCGCGCTTTCCGTGGCAGGGAAACCACGGATGGCGTCTGAACACCCAAAACCCTTCGATATCGCAACTTTGTTCCAGTGATGCCACCATTTTCTTCAATTAGGGTTCGGATTTTGGATGATGCTCTTTTTACTGCTTATTCCAGCCTGCGGGGATGCTGGAAACCAAACAACGTCACCATTGCAAAATATTATATATATATATATAAAGCATATCTATAATATATATATATATATAAGGGATTGACCTCGTTGTAAGCAATTCTTGTTAATAGGGAAAATCTTTGTAATAACTATATGAGGGTCGTTAGAAAACCCCGTCTCTTGTATTTAGTCTATAGCGGAATATAGATATAAGACATCTTATCCTAGACATATGAAAACACGATATAGGCGCAAGAAGGCGTAAGGGCGGGCGCAAGTGCTGCTACTACTAATACTACGATTACTACTATTACTATTACTACTACTACTACTATTACTATTACTACTACTACTACTACTACTACTACTACTACTACTACTACTACTACTACTACTACTACTACTACTACTACTACTACTACTACTACTACTACTACTACTACGATTGCTATTATTACTCATATTGCTGTTACTATTACTACTACTACTACTATTGTTACTGCTATTATTACTACTAATCTTACTACTATCACTACTACTACACGGTATTATGATTAACCATATTGCAAATTTCTGTTTTGTGGTTGCTACTACTATAGTGCAAAAACGCCCGGACCGCGCGGTTGCGCGCGGCGGCTGCGCGCGCGGATGCGCGCGGCGGCCGCGTGCGTTGAGGCACGAAGGCTAAGAATTGGACTCATGGCAAGGCATTTTTTTAAATTGTGTAATTAGTAATACTAGTAGCACCTTCATTACTTCAGCACATTGCTAAGGCCAACAGGTTTCGAGCGCAAGCTGTTTCACAAGCCCGCATTCTAGGCAAGGCTTTATTTAACAGTCAATCTGAAACAATCTGAAAACACGTAAACGGGCGCACGTATTTTCCACGCGAGACATATGTATTTAGGTGGCACTAAGCAGCTCTGGGACTTGTGCTTCCGCCGCTACTAACGTGTTTGCTTATTATGACTACTACTACAACTACGACGACTACTACTACTGCTACTACTGCTACTGCTACTGCTGCTATCTAGTACTACTAGTACTACTACTACTACAATTATTATTACTACTACTGCTACTATTACGACTACTACTACAGCTACTACTACTACTACTTTTTCTACTACTACTATTACTACTATTACCACTACTACTACTACTACGACTGTTATTACTACTGCTACTGCAACTGCTACTGCCATTACTACTACTACTACTACTACTCCTACTACTACTACTACTACTTCTTTTTCTAGGCATGGCTCCCGCACGTCTGAAATAGTCTGAAACCGCACAAAAGCAGGGCACGTGCCGGCTCCTGCCAATTGGTCAGGCTTTGCCTGCTCCACGGAGGCTTTCAGAGCTTGGATATCTTGCAACCGCCTTATAACCTCCAAAGTAATGCCCACTTATTTCACCAAGCGCCCGCGTCGTGGCCAGGACTTGTTTGTATAAAGCCTGCCTCGCACGCAGAAGAGTGTCTGAATAGATCTGAAACACTCCAATTTGCAATGCGCACGGGCTATTCCTGAACAGTTAGTTGGTGGGTTGGTTGGTTGGGTTACTTGGTTTGCGCTTGTTTGCAAAAAGCCGGGGAGACGTTTTTCAAATACCGGCGCCAAGCAGTGTTAAAACCCTGAAAGATAGGCAAAGCCCGCATTGCACTGACTACTTGATAGCATGAAGCTCACCCTGCGTGATTAGAGGTGTCTGAAACAGCCTGAAACCTTCCAGCTTCAAGCGCCTATAACGTGTTCCTGACCTGAAGGGCGTTGCTTTGTCGTAGGCTTCGCTAGGAGGTTGTATTCTCTTCGAATGTACCTTTCGTGGCCCGAGCCTTTTGGTACAGCTTAAAAGTCATATTTAGCACCTAATTTCCCATGTATTTCGTACACGAAGATGATGGCATAAGCAAAAACACACGTAGGCGCAAGGAGGCGCAAGGGCGGGCGCAAGGGATCCTAAAAGGAAGTCGTGGAGCAAGAATTTTCGATAATCCCTATATACTGTTAATTTAATGTTGTTGTTTTAATATATTTGTTTAGAAATACATATTAAATATATGTGGTTATTTCATAAATAACTAAAAATGAAAAGTTAATTCTAATAAAAACAAAATACTGTATAATTAAAAATGAAATGAAAAGGTAAACAAAATATCAGATAATGGGATTTACAATAAGATTTTATGCTTTTATAGTTGGCATGTGGTAAGCGATGGAATCTCCAAGAGAAAGGAATGGCATGTGAGAGGAAAAGGATTCACGAGTGAAAGGGAAGATGAAAGATGGGAGAAAGATGAGATGACCTGATGCATTATCTCTCCATTTCCTTCATCTCATTTTGGTTGATTAATAATAGCTTTTCACACATCTATCCCATCTATGATTCAGAATTAATTTGTAGAAGATAGAATGGCTTTTATTATTGTCTCACTGTTATTTCTCTTTTAATTTGATTTTGTATATATATATATAAGTAAATATAAACAATATATTATTGATATAACTACAATTTGGCAATAATGTTGTTTGTTTTCACAATTTTATATATAAACATAAGTATTTTTATTTCTCCCTAAATAGTTATAATTACTAGAAATGAAGAATAATTTATTTTAATATTAATATATTTATTTACTCTATAAAACGAAACCGTGAAACTTGCTCGTCGCACTTGCGCGCGTTTTCCCGGACCGCTTTTCCGAAAAACCCCGGATATTTCGGAAATTGGTTCGGGCTGCCCTTGGAAGATGCAACCGCTTCATATTTCCTACGGATCGCTTACCCAAATCTGTCCGGGCTACCCCGGCCATAATCCGGAAGATGCAGTGGCTTCATTTGTTGTAGGGACCAATTTCCCGAAATATTCCAGATATTTCGGGGAAATCGCAGCCACCCACCATTTTCTCGAAATATCCCGAATATTTCGGGAACCGTTTTCCCGAAATATTTCGGGAAATGCTGTCGTCGAAATATCCGGAATCTTTCAGAAAAATGGTCTGGAGTGCAATTATTGAAATATCCGGGATATTTCGGAAAAATGGTCCGGGCTTTGAACGAAGCCGTTGTGTTTTCCAGATAAATTGCCGGTTCTCGTATTGGGCGCATCTTATTGGAATCGGTCCCCTATGGTCTGTTTCCTTGTGGTTTCCTTATGACCATTTTAGCGGTAAATAAGAAGTTGGGCTCTTTTTGGGCCAATCCACTCGAACATCTTCACACACCAGTTGGATTGACTTTTGGACTTCCCCTACTGTGTAGATGTGGTTGCTCGCTCGGGGATAAAATCCCCCAAGCCGCTCGCTTTGCGTAGCTAAGTTCGCCCGCCCCAGCCACCCAAGGTAAAGACTTTTAGGGTTTAGGGTTCTATTCGAGGTGGAACCCTTGAACGGGTTCCAAGCCAACGTGGCGCCGTCTGAAGCAGCTGGGCTGCCAGCTGCCTGCCTCGCTAAACTTCTAGCCTGCGCAGGCGTGGGTCGCGCTGCAAAGCGCTAGTCCTTTTTCGATTGCCCAGCTTGCGTAGGCCGCGCGTTCCACGCGAGCGCGTTGCGCGCTGCGCTGGCCTGGGTGCGGGCTGCGGCGGCAAGTACCATGTAGACAGCGTCTACATAATCCGCAGCGTCCACGGCCGCCAAGCGCCACGTAGACGCCGTCTACCTGATCCGCGGGGCGGGTTCCACACGAGCGCGTCGCGCGCTGCGTTTGCCTGGGCGTGGGCTGCGGCGGCAAGTACCATGTAGCCGGCGTCTACGGAATCCTCAGCGTCCACAAGGTGGCCGCCAGCTGCTTGCTTCGCTAACCTTTTCCTGCGCAGGCGTGGGTCACGCTGCAAAGCGTGGAGTTGCCAAGGCGCCAAGACCGGCTGCCAAAACACGCACGGGCCAAGCGCGCGTTGACAGTATGATTGGTTTCCCTATTTCCCTTTGATCGCCCGTCAGGCTCGCCATCGGAAGCTTTTCGACTAGGTCCGCCAGTAGTGCCCTTTCTCCCCCTTTTCCCCTACAAATAGACTACAGAAAAAAGTTGGCACCCTAACCTCTCACCTCTCAAATCTGCAGGACCTAGCCACAATGAAAATTGACTCTCTGAAACTGATCACTGGAAACCCAGAGGGGGGGTATCCTCCAACAAATTTGGCGCCGGATTTGCTTTCGGGGCATATATCTGCTTGTCCGCAGCAATTTTCCGACAGTTTGGCGATGCGAGAAGCTGTGAGCCGTGGCCGATTGTTGCGACCAGTGGTGTTTTTCCCAATGCTTTGGGCGAAATCAGTTTGGCTTTGCTTGCACCCAGGATGTTTTCTGGTCGATTGCGTTTTCGCTTGCGCTTGCAACAACTGCGTGTGTGGATGGATCTTCTGAGGCCAACAGCCCGCGGATCCGTTCTCACCTTGCTCAGGCGACCGCCTTTCACTGACTCTTTGGCATGACCTTATCGCGACCAGCAACGGCAGCATGCTTTTCGCATGCGACGAGTATAGATTTTTGGATACATATGAGATGATAAAATATGCTGGTGCCTGTTGCAAAAAGTCTCTTTTTGTCTCTGTCTCTTTGTCGGTGTCTGTTTCTGTCTCTCTTTGTCTGTTGGTCTCTCTGTCTCTGGTATCTGTTTCTTTGTTTGTCTGTCATTCTGTCTATCTGTCTGTCTGTGTCTGTCTGTCTGTGTCTGTCTGTGTCTGTGTGTCTGTGTCTGTGTGTCTGTGTCTGTGTGTCTGCGTGTTTGTGTCTGCGTATTTGTGTTTGTGTGTCTGTGTGTTTGTGTTTGTTTGAAGTTGATATTGTGTAGGTTAATCTTTATGAGTTTATGAAATTTAATTGATATTATGTAGGTTAATTATTATGAGATTATAAAGTTTAGGGCCTATTTTTTAATATTTTTGAGAGTTAGGATAATTTTGATGAAAATTAGAGGATAT